CAAGTTTTATTAAATTGGTCCAGTTGTTTCAGAGGAGAAGACTTTTTGAAAAACGTTTACGATGACTACCGACGACTACCACAGACGCCAAGTGATGGCAATAGCTGACATGGCTTATAGGGCCTGACTAAACAAAAATAAAAATATATATGGTTTAGGGATGCGGATCTCGACCGTTTACAAGTTGTCAAAAAAAAGGGGGGTGGGGGTTACCCCCATGGACTTTCCCTATATTTCATTTGATTTGTTTTATTGTCCCATACAAGAATATATATGGATTAGTGGTGGGGATCTCGACCGTTTACAAGTTCTCAAAAAGGAGGGGGTGGGGTGACCCCCGGGGACTCGCCTTGTATTTCATTTGATTTGTTTTATTGTCCCATACAAGAATATATATGGTTTCGGAGTAGGGATCTTGACCGTTTACAAGTTTTCAAAAAAAGGGGGGGTGGGGTGACCCCCCTGGACTTCCCCTATATTTCATTTGATTTGTTTTATTGTCCCATACAAGAATATATATGGTTTAGGGGTAAGGATCTCGACCCTTTACAAGTTCTCAAACAGGAGGGAGATGGGGGTGACCCAAGGGGACTTGCCTTATATTTCATTTGATTTGTTTTATTGTCCCATACAAGAAAATATATGGTTTCGGGGTGGGGATCTTGACCGTTAACAAGTTTTCAAAAAAAAGGGGGTAAGGTTTCCCCAGGGGACTTCCCCTCAATTTCATTTGATTTGTTTTATTGTCCCATTCAAGAATATATATGGTTTAGGGTGGGGATCTTGACCGTTTACAAGTTATCAAAAAGAAGGGGGATGGGGGTTACCCCCATGGACTTCTTCTATATTTCATTTGATTTGATTTATTGTCCCATACAAGAATATATATGGTTCCGGGGTGGGGATCTTGACTGTTTACAAGTTCTCAAAAAGAAGGGGGTGGGGGGTGACCCCCATGGACTTCCCCTATATTTTCATCTGATTTGTGTTATTGTCCCATACGAGAATATATATGGTTAAGGGGTGGGGATCTCAACCGTTAACAAGTACTCAAACAGGAGGGGGTTGGGGTGACCCCAGGGGACTCGCCTTTTACTTCATTTGATTAGTTTTATTGTCCATAACAAGAATATATATGGTTTCAAGGTGAGGATCTTGACCATTTACAAGATTTCAAAAAGAAGGTGGGTGGGGGTGACCCAAGGGGACTTGCCTTATATTTCATTTGATTTGTTTTATTGTCCCATACAAGAAAATATATGGTTTCGGGGTGGGGATCTTGACCGTTAACAAGTTTTCAAAAAAAAAGGGGTGGGGGTTTCCCCAGGGGACTTCCCCTCAATTTCATTTGATTTGTTTTATTGTCCCATTCAAGAATATATATGGTTTAGGGTGAGGATCTTGACCGTTTACAAGTTATCAAAAAGAATGGGGTGGGGGTTACCCCCATGGACTTCTTCTATATTTCATTTGATTTGATTTATTGTCCCATACAAGAATATATATGGTTTCGGGGTGGGGATCTTGACTGTTTACAAGTTCTCAAAAAGAAGGGGGTGGGGGGTGACCCCCGTGGACTTCCCCTATATTTTCATCTGATTTGTGTTATTGTCCCATACAAGAATATATATGGTTTCGGGGTGGGGATCTCAACCGTTTACAAGTACTCAAACAGGAGGGGGTTGGGGTGACCCCAGGGGACTCGCCTTTTACTTCATTTGATTAGTTTTATTGTCCATAACAAGAATATATATGGTTTCAGGGTGGGGATCTTGACCATTTACAAGTTATCAAAAAGGGGGTGGGGTGACCCCCTGGACTTCCCCTATATTTCATTTGATTAGTGTAATTGTCCCATACAAGAATATATATTTTTTAGGGGTGGGGATCTCGACCGTTTACAAGTTCTCAAACAGGATGGGGTGGGGGTGACCCCAGGGGACTCGCCTTATATTTCATTTGATTTGTTTTATTGTCCCATACAAGAATATATATGGTTTCAGGGTGGGGATCTTGACCGTTTGCAAGTTTTCAAAAAGAAGGGGGTGGTGTGGTCCTGGGGACTCCCCTTAATATTTCGTTTGATTTGTTTTATTGTCCCATACAAGAATATATATGGTTTAGGGGTGGGGATCTTGACCGTTTACAAGATAAAACTCAAATTTATTTCCATGAACCAGTAACATAACACCAAAATAATTCTCTAAAATTAGATATGACTTAACCACTCATAAATCTCTAAAATTAGATATGATTTTATATCTATCAATTAAACACATCACTTTTCAAAACAAATAACTCAAACTTAATTACATAAACCAATAAAAAACCAGCAAAATACTTCTCTAAAATCAGATATCATGTTATATCTATTTCCATATTATAATCAAATTTAATTAATAGTTGCTAATATTGTTTCTTTCATGTGTCAAAAAATAATACAGATCTGCAACTTATCTATCAATGTCAAAAACTTTATCTCATAATAAAAATAGATTATTATCTAATTAAAAACAAGTTAAGATTCAGCACTTAAAGAACCCTATATATATTTAATTTATGTTCAAATATAACACACACAAACTGATTAATTTTCCCAGGGGACCTGCCCTTTATTTCATATGATTTGTTTTTTTTTGTCCCATACAAGGATATATATGGTTTAGGGGCGGGGATCTCAACCATTTACAAGTTCTTAAACAGGAAGAAGGTGGGAATGACCCCAAAGAACTCACCTTTTATTTCATTTCATTTGTTTTATTGTAACATACAAGAATATATATGGTTTCGCCGTGGGGATTTTGACCATTTACAAGTTTTCAAAAAAAAGGAGAGTAGGGGTTAACCCAGGGGACTTCCCCTAAATTTAATTTGCTTTAATTTATTGTCCCATATTATTAGTTACATAGTGTGCTAGTGACCCAATACGGTATATATGGGTTCAGTAGATTCCATATTGGGTGAGAGCGAAGCTCGAATCCCCATATGGAATTTACTGACCCCATATATACCGTATTACGTCACTAGTACACTATGTAACGAATTTATCTTACCGACTATCTTAACATGTGGCCTTAGACTAGTAACTTATTATAGTGATCAAGTCTTCAATACCGTTAGCATTAAGCAACTATACTTCCATTGATCATTCAAAAACAAATGCCAACAATAACAACTTGTTAGCTTTAAATGTTTTTTATGAATTTATTTCAATCTTTCATCGTCTGTTTAAACCTTTAAGATTTTTTCTCAGTACCGTTTTGTTTTATAAAGGGACGTAACACCACTACTAACCGTGTATTGAAATAAGCCCCGCCTACCTACTAACCTAATATGGAATATACACGGTCTCCACGCGGTTGCTTTTAACCAATCATATTCCTAGAAATGTATAGGAGGTAAGATAAAAGTACATATATGGTTTAGGGGTGGGGATCTCAACCGTTTACAAGTTTTCAAAAAGAAGGGGGTAGGGTTTACTCCCGTGGACTTCCCCTATATTTTATTTGATTTAATATATTGTCCAATACAAGAATATATATGGTTTCTGGGTGGGAATCTTGACCGTTTACAAGTTATCAAAAAAAAGGGGGGTAGGGGTTACCCCAATGGACTTTCCCTATATTTCAATCAGAAAACAGTAAATTTTCAAATAAATCTGTCACTCCAATGATTATCATATGCTAAAATATTTCAAAGATCTAATTAATAATGAAAATAAATCATTATCATATGCTGAAATATTTATAATATCTAATTGAACAGAACTATGGTTGTTTAACATAGTACTCTAACATAATTAATAATGTAATAATCTTCAAAATGTCTAATGATATAGCTTATAATCATTACCACCTAGGAAATAGATAATTTTCAAATAAATCTGTCCCTCCAATTTTTATTCTGAGATAAGACAAATCATAAAAGATAACAACAGTAAAATATTTAAAAATTCTACTTTTGGATATTAAAAATGAAGATAACTCACAAAAGAAAAAATACTAAAATCTTGAAAATTAATAGAGACCTTCATTAAGTCCCAGGAAACAACATATTTAAATTTGAAAAAAATTTGTTAAAGCGTTTTCATGTTAAGGGGGGAAAGCTGTTTGGCAGCCGCCAGAGCCGCCCAGCCGCCCGCCGTATATAACCATTTTAATAACCGATATTTCCTTCGAAAATCCGGTTAGAAACAAAACCCCCCCAAAAAAACAGGTGAAAGTCAAAGTTTTCATTGTAGCCGAATAGAACATTAAATTTTTACATTCATGAACAGATGAAATATACTGGAAATTATTCCTCGAAAGATAATACCAGTTGGTGTTATGTTGGTCCAAATTAAAGTAATTATAAGGCTCCAAGGAGCATCTAGGGGTCAAATTGGTCAGTAGTTTAACAAATCATCTCCTACAGATCTGTGGATTAAATATAATAAAACAAATTTGATTGATTTGTTCCTAATTGCAGGCCATTAACATGCACTTTTTAGTAAATATCAACTTATTGATTACATTAATAAGAACATTATCCACCTCATTAAGAATGAAAATTCACTGTCTTCTCTCTTCTCTTTATAAAGATAGAAAGCAAAAATGAATCGTCTCTAACGTATTGAACAGGGGTTAATTCAACTTTAACATTTGATACTAAACTAGGGCAGTATCCATTTTGGATGTCATTCCAGTACATTTCGTTTAACTAGAAGTAAGTTCTCAATTCAGCTATGAAAAGACAGTTTTGTCAAGAGAGATTTCTATTAAACTCTTTCTAACACACTTACATAGTTGTAAGTCAATTAAAGCGCATTGTGTAATGAAAAACATGCAAAATTTTGTTTCTATATAAATCTGCACAAAATAAATCTTTAAATGTGATAAAAGATTTCCCCCATAATCCCTGCTGAGGCCTACCTTATAGAATATTTGATGCTTAAGTTTTACACAGTCAAACTGAAATTGTTAAGTAAAACCTATTAATTATTTATATATATATTTATATACCTCTTTATCTAATGCATCCACTCAAAGGTATATATGGCAACCATCATTACATTTACTTTTCCAAAATGGTGGCCTACTCGTAAGTGATCTTCCGTTTATAAGTGATCAAGGTTAAATTTATACATTTAAATTACATTGTAAGTTTTTAAACTGTGCCGGATAACATGTTGATATAATATATGTTAATAATTATTTACCTTTATAGAACGATTTAAATTTTTGATGAAAGAAGTCTTGAATACGTCATGAACTAGAAAATGTATTTGTTAAATGCTACACTGTGTAAGGTATATGTTTTTCAACCTCATAGTCGCGTGTAAAAAAGCCCACTTTTACATCTTTTAAATTTTGATTGTGAATTTAAAGTTCATCATAACAATGACACAAATACAGCTGTGTATACCTTGAAAAGACTCTTGAATACAGACACACCTGTGCAATTGGAAACTTTTTTTTAACATAACTAAAAAAAAAGTTATCCGAAATTTGTGTTTAAGAAAGATTAAAAACTCTTTTTGGATTTGGATGGGGAATTTTTTTTTTTTTTTTTTTTTTACTAAAGGCGTAAAAATAAACTAAGTTGTGTAATATCTTTGTATTCCAAATGGTGAGGTTGAAATCATCCCTTCGTAAATTTTACGGACGCCATCACGAGTTGGTTGACCGTTTTGGAATAACCGTTTCACAGATGATATCGGATATGTTCCTTATGTCGTAACTACAATACCCTTCCCTTTTCACGAATGTGACCTACCGAATTAGACTATTTACCGGATTTGTAATGACATAAGCAACGCGACGGGTGCCACATGTGGAGCAGGATCTGCTTACCCTTCCGGAGCACCTGAGATCACCCCCAGTTTTTGGTGGGGTTCGTGTTGCTTAGTCTTTAGTTTTCTATGTTGTGTCATCTGTACTATTATTTGTCTGTTTGTCTTTTTATTTTTGGACATGGCGTTGTCAGTTTGTTTTCGATCTATGAGTTTGACTGTCCCTCTTGTATCGTTCGTCCCCCTTTTGAGATGCCCCCTCACAAATAAAAAAAAAGGAGAAAGAATACACCAAAGGGACACTCAAAGATCTTAAAATCATATTTCCCCTATATTTAACGACGAAAGGACAAACAAAATAAAACAAAAACATTACATAGAAAACTTAAGACTTTCGAAGATATGACTTCAACTTTACCACTTGGAACTCTTAATACAATAGCTTCCTTGTAAGCAGTAACCCTATATGAAAAAAAAATAATGATAGACAACGCAAGCCCTGGAATAGCGTATAAACTTAGAGGTGTATACTCTGTATGCAGGCGCTGCTTTAATATTGGTACACAGAAAATGGAAAGTTCACTATGGCAAATTGAAATCGTCTCTTTTGTCGTAAAGTTTAGTTCTCAATTACCCCTTACTGTAAATGTCTAGATGTATTCTAAGATATGAGGCAGACTTACTTGTATTTTTTTATCCTCTATTTCAAGTTCATTTAGATAGATGCAGTCAACATAGTCATCAAAGTTTGCATTATTAGGTAAAAGGACTTCATCTTTATAGCGGCAAGTGAAATTAAAGGATATATCCAGCTTCTCTTCGTTCTTTTAGAAGCTTTCTGTACGAGGTCTACCACATACGAATAGGGGATTAAGTCGGCAAGCAAGGAGAAACAGTTGGTTTCCATATATCTAGTGGACTCAATGCCTTATCACTTTTCCAACTGCACAAGGTTGTCGGTACTCGAAGTGTAAATAGTTATATTTGTCCATTTCTGATAATAAATTTGTTCAGTTGGTTTACAATATTATCTATAGATTGTTCAACCATTTTATTTGCTTTGCCCAACCGAATTTGCTTTTCTTTTTCTGCATTTAATTTCAAACTGAAAAAATTCATCCACACTAACATAATCAGCATCATCATATTTGATACCATACTAGAGTTATTATGTCCCTTTTCGCCATCAGTGACATGTATCGTGCTGTTGCTTTACATCAAAGATCCTCAACATTAATGGATACATTGTGATACCGTACTAGAGTTATCATGGTATTGTTCTTCATCTGTTAACATCTCGACACAATTGTGTACGAGCCGTATGTAGTGTGCTGTTGATTTTCATCATGTATATTTTGATACTGTTCTAGAGTTTTCATGGCAGTGTCCTTCATCTGTCGGAACCTTGCAATGATTTTGCACCAGTCACTTTTATCCTGTTGTTGTTTTACATATAATATTCTCCACATTGTGGGATAATTCAGTAAATTAATATTTAAGACCTTCTTAACTATTTTTTTTAGTTATAGAGATATATTTGTCGATTTTAATTTTGATCAGCGTGTTCCTCTTTAGTTTCTGTTGTAAACCAAATTGTTTTCGCTGATATTTATTGTCTGTTATATATTTTTTCATAAAACATTGGCATTTTTCAGACGTTTGAAATTTGTCATATTTTTCTACTTGAAAAAGTCATGGAAATTAGTTGGTTTACTGGAATCTATTTCACAATATTGTCTAGCACATCTATGAGTTCATCTCGGATACCATTAAGTTTAATTACATAGTTTGTATTTTGTTGAGACTAAATATTTTTATCTGATCCTTTCATGCTTTCTCATCTTGTTGATCATGCGAATTCTCTAATCTGATTTTTTTTTCTATCTCTGCTTCCGAGTGATTGTACTACCGATTTTTCGAATCATAATATAAAAAATGAAATAACAAATAAATACTGAACTTCAAGGTTAATTCAAATAGGAAAGTCCGTAAAGACTGACAGAACAAAAGGCTCGACTAGAAAAACAAACGGAACAACTGGAAAACAACTGGCATACTCCTGAATAACAGGATGCTCATTAACGGGGGAACAAAAAAACATATTCAAGAAAGGATGCAATCCAATATGTAGTATTTGGTTTAACATATGGAAACCACTTCCCTGCACAATCTTTTTTTATCTATTATTAGTAAAAGTGCTGGTTTTCTTATACCAGTGCCAAAGATTGAAAATGAATGATGATGTTCTTATAATATACCATATATTGGCTCTTGCAATTTTTTTTGGAGTAAATAGGCCATGACCAAAGATGTAGTGACCTCAAAAACAATAGGGATTTTCCTCTTAATATATGTGAGCATATTTTCAAGTAAGGTTGCAATCTATTAACTAGAGGTTTTATGTCAAATGTATGTGTTGCTCACTTAGGTTTATGTGCATTTCAACAATGAACACTCTCCGGCATTGTAGACCAGAATTTTATTCGCGTCTAAAATCTTTTTGTTGAACTTGTATTGTTGATAATTATTTTGTTTAGTGTTTCTCTATCTTCTATTGTTTTTGTCATAAACACAAAAAGGATAAAAATCGTCATTTCAGGGCAGAAACTCCTATTAAGAAGACAACTGACAATGTAATCTATACTGACTTATTTGCAGATTTTGCACCGCTGATCACATTTTCTTTTTAAAGTTTCTATCTATCTATTATCCTTTTCAAAATAAAAAGGCAAACACTCAAAAACACTGTAAACGTCCATTACGGACTATAACTTTATAAGGATGATTTCGGCAACATGAGTTATTAGTAGATTTGGTCTTGCTAATCGATTTTGCTTTCTATCTATCTATTTTAGTTTTCAAGCAAATTGACAAACACGTAAAAAGTAAAATCACAAAAATACTGAATTCCGAGGAAAATATTGGTAAAAATCATCATTCAAAGGCAACATCCAATAAGGAGTAAACTGACAATTTAAACTGTGGATCGTATTTGTAAATCTTCTCTTGCTGGTCATTTTTGCTATTTTAATATAATCATCATTAAAGGGCAATAACTCTAATAAGGAGTCAACTGACAATTTCAACTAAAGATCTCTTTTGTAGATCTTATCTTGTTGAACATTTTTGCCATTCAAACTATTCACCTATTATAGTTTTCAAGATAATAGGCAAAATTGCAAAAGTTGTCATCATAGGGTTATTACCTCAATAATGAGTCGACTGACAATTCCGGCATTGGGAATTATTGGTAAATCTGGTCTTGTTGATGTTTTATTCTGATTAAAGTTTCTGTCTTTCTTTTATACCGTTCAAGATAAAAGGCAAAAATTTGGAAAAAATGGTAAAATTCGTCATTTAATGGCAATATCTATTGTAAAATATTCTGACAGTTATGATGTAAAGGGACAGTGGTTAGATCACATCATTCTGAACATTGTTGCCCCCGGACTGAGGATGCCAAAGGATGGCAAAAGTTACTTGATTTAGCATCCAGTAACTAAATTCCTACATATTTCAATCTCGTTCAATTAATTTTGACCTTGGCCTCATACATAGTTTGCATTTAATCAATAGAGATTTACCTCTCATAGATCCAAGTGATATTCTTATCTGATAAAAAAAAATCTGAAAATCGCTTTCAGAACAAATTTTAATGTATTTTTAGTCATATTGACCTTGACATTAGACGTTGTGACCTCAGAATCAATAGGGAATATTGCTATCATTATATATGAACATATATCTATGTAAGGTTGCATTTCAAAATAAAGTAGTTGATTTAGCATTCTGAAACCAAAATAACTGAGACTGATGACCTGACAGTTCAAAAACGTTATAACCCTGCTACTTTATAGCCTAGGGTACCATAATCAATCCACTGAAAAGCACGATATCTAATCAAAACAGTAGTGAAGTAACCAATCTATTGAATAACATTATAAATAATGTCATGAATAACCGAAGAGCCAGTCTTGTGAAAAACTTATATAATGGTGAAAAACAGAACTATCAGTACCGATTATCAGGTTGTCTGCATATTGATATTGTAAAGTATCAGCTGAGAGTCACAATGTGATTTTTTTGGTCGAGTAAGCGCAGCGAACAATTTCAATAAGGTTTCATATTGTGTCGAGCATGTTAGAAACAAGTGTTTTCTTTGTTTCACCAGCAAACTGGAAGATGACGCGATTAGTTCGGGTCAAACTTATCAACGTCGGTTCATTCATTATGACGTCGGTGATATGTCCGTGTCCAAGTTATTAGGGCCAGTTCAACGTATTGGACGTCACAAAACCGTGATACTCAATTTTATGAAGCTGAGCAGTGATACAGACAGTTGGAACATCGATAAACCGTATAATCTGCATGTGGAGCAGGATCAGCTTACCCTTTCGGAGCACCTAAGATCACCCCCAGGTTTTGATGGGGTTCATGTTGCTCAGTCTTTAGTTTTCTATGTTGTGTTTTGTGTACTGTTGTTTGTCTTAGGTTTTTTTTTGACATGGCATTGTCAGTTTATTTTCGACATATGAGCTTGAATGTCCTTTGGTTTCTTTCGCCTCTCTCTAATAAATAGAGAGAAAACCAGACAAATCATATATGCTGTCTCATTATGGTTAATCTAAAATCTCCTTTTATCCATATCACAAAAAGAAGAACAGAACACCTAATTTCACTACAATCACATTCACAATCAGACTGAACAAAGTATTGTTTCTTAAAATTTTTATTTCATCTTCAGTATCTTTCAGACATTTATAGTAATTCACACACCCAAATATGTCTTACAATGTACATAATTACATAAATAGTTAGACTACATCTAATAATATATACATTCATAACAAAACCAGTGGTTAATCTGAACAATATCAGATAACTTATTTCACACTCTATTGCAGACAATGTAAACATCAGATACAATAGGAGTTGTGTTAACAATGGCTATTAAAAACAATTGTATTGGTCTATTGTGTACAATAGATTTTTGTCTGCATTTCATACTTATAGCCCGAAAATGGGTGTGTATTCACTTGATCAATAACCTGTAAATTTTGATAAAGTATTTTTTTTTATTTGAGTTTACATCAAGGAAGAAATGTCAAATACTCAAACATTTCCAGCTATACAAATTAGTGAATACTATAGATCTGAAGACCAATATTATATATTCAGGTCTTTTAACTGAATAATTTGGCAGACAAGATGGAGAGGGGCTTCGTTCTGATACCTATGTAAAAATTTATTTCAATTTCTCCAATTTTCTTCAATTAAACCTGTTCTGGGCAGTTGTATAAACTTTGGTAAACAAAATTCTGATTAAGTAGTTGGCATGAATTTTTCGTCCCAAATGTATTTTGAATATCAGGGTAGGGAGTCTTTCATTTAACTATTAGAGACACATTCTACTACTTTACCCTTTAAACTAAATTGAATTATCCACTAAAGATAAACTAGTAAAATGTTTGTAATTTGACTTAAGTTGTTCAACTTTATGACAAGTGAACTACTTTAATTGCTACTCTTTAAATCCATTTGAAAAGCAGAAAATTAACACAAAATCAATTGTTTTACTTTTCATCATTATTTATAAAATTAATTAAAAGCCTTACAAAGCAGGAGACCCATATAACAAATAGAGAAAAACAAAAACCAGAAAGCAAGACTACCATTCACGCAATTTCTGGTAGTTAAATAATTCTGACATCTGATTTCTGTGTGTTTGTTCCCCATCATTATGAAAAAAAAACCCAAAAGAAGGATGATGAATTACCTCTTCCAAAAAGGACATATTCATGGCATATCTCCAGAAATAGAGAATTTTATAGATGACAAAGATATTCCAAACTTTTATTTAACTCTCTAACCCAAGATTTTTTTTTCCTTTAAACCCTTTTAAGCATTGTAAGGATGGATAAACAACCAAACAATGACAAAAGTTCAACACTGGAAAAATCTTACAAGCTAGAGAAGTTTCAAACTGTCCTAGACAGGATTCTTGGCAGATTTCTATGAGAAGTCTGTATACTTTTTATTGTACAAATATACCACCACTGATCATTTCGAAATGGGAATTACATAAAATACAGAGTACATTAATTGGTTTCAGATCACAAAGAACACAGGATTCACATGCACAAAATTTCTTTCAAAAATTTTACATTAATTTTTGAGATTTTTTGTCCAATCAAATTTTTTTTGAATATGTTTCATTATTAACCTTTTAAAAATAAATAGGAGTCAGTTTTTAAAACAGGTGCAGTATGTTTAACCACTTATATCTAAATTATAAAAAAAACACCATACCATTAACAAACACATTTTCTTCAATCTATTATCACACAAGCAGGAACAATTCTATTATACAAGCACTGTCAAACTTGAGTCCTAACATTTTCACAAATTCATTATTTATAAAGAGCCATCACAATAGAATCTTTCTGTAAGCGTATGCATTGCACTCATGTTTAAAAAAGTAAATATTTAAGCACTAAAATTTATATGGATTGTTTTCCTATTAAAAAAGTGTTCTTTTAGAACCATCCGTTGGTGCAAAAATTATTCCTTATGAAAACCAAAATTGCTAAGGATTTGGGAACTATATATATATACCTTTGTATTACCTGAATTTTGTCTGAGAAATTTTGTTTTCAGCCACTACCAGTTTTTAACTACGCTAATGACCAGTAAGAAATATGGACAAATCTGAAATGTTACAGCATATACCTAACAAATAAAACCTTCATAGTATTAACAATAACAAGTGTTAACAGAAGTCTTTTATGATAAGAAACATTATGTCAACCAGATAATCACAGCCAAGGCATACAAATGATATGAAAACAACTCTTGGCAAATGTTTGAAATTTTTTGTACACATTCTCTATATTCTTTTGAAGAAAGCATTGCGCAACATTTACATTGAATTGATCCCAAAAAAACGTGAGAAAGAAAAAAAGGTCATGGTATGTTTCTAGATGTTTTATTTTTTTTAAATCATTGATGTGTATCCAATATTTCCTTTAAATCATACACATAATGCATTAGGCAATGTAAGTGTTTTTCAAGTTAAATACAGGATGTTATGAAGTATGTAGAATGCATGTAAAAGTCTTTTATCTAATAAAATCTAATATTGTATGGTTAAGTTATGACAGAGGATCTTCATTAATGACATACTTATAAAAATAATGAGATATGGTGTATTTTCTATTTAAGTGAGAAAAATTCATGTGGGGAAAAAACTGGACAATATATATATACATTTTAAGTGTAATTATGCACCATAATTGTCTGTAGTTGTTGAAAAAAGAAAAGGCTTCAATGCATTTGATAAATATTGCTGTTTCAAAATAATAAATTTTGACTCATTTTCATTCAAAATCCAGACAATATTACTATAAACCTAATATTTATCTTTGCATTTTTAGGGCCACACAAGGTTTTTTCAAGATTCTTAGCTTCTTTCAAAAAAAATATTGGGAGAAAGAGAGGATTTAAAATTCTTAATCACACTTTGATGGTTGGAAGAAATCTTTAAATAATTATTTGAAAATGTAAATTAAGATATACCCCAACCATTAGTTTATTCTTTTTATTCTGTTCCAGCTGATCACATGCAAGATCAAAATCTATTCCATTAACAACTTTACCTTTAATAATTTGAATGATAGATAAACACCATAAACATTTAGGTAGGAAGTCATTAAAACCCATCAGTCAAAGGAAGCTCTTTAGCAAAGCTCGAACAATGCATAAAAATTCAGTTTTACAGATCGTATCTACCAATACATACTATCTTCCCTTTCATAACATTTCCTTAAAGTCACATTAAAATATCATCGTAAAAATTTCTGAATCTCTTTTTATCCCTTAAAGCAACATTTGCATTGCTTGTACAAAGAACTCATGATTGGGTCCTGAATGCTTTCTGTAATTTGCTGAACTAGCACTAAGTCGCTGTTATCGGAGAGCCTTGGTAATTCTGTATACTATAAAACCAAAAACTGTCGCCATAGCAAGTCCGACTCCAATTTTCATAAACAGTCTATCATTCTGTAAAACAACATCTCTCACATGTCTGAAATAAACAAAAAACAACTTATATTTCAAGAATTTAATAACATGAGATTAAAAGATTAAGGATAATATGACAATAAATCCAAAATTACTACAAATAAAGTTAAAGATTAAGAGATTTTGATAAATTATTTCCATCAGATTTGTTTTGTAAATCATTCTCATTGTAGATCAGAATGCATAAACATGAATATGACAAAATTATTTTGACATTTAATGCAATAAGGGCCTGTTAAATGTTAATTTACTAGAAAAGAAATAAAATAACTGTTCTTATTTTTTTTTTTAATTTTTTTAATTACCAGATACAGATACTTTATTTGCTAATCAAAGCGTCCACAAAGAGCAGAATAACACCTAATTTTGTACAAAAAGTGCAACATTTACCATGATTTCTAAATCATGCTCTTTTACAACATTACATGACAATAACAGGAAATTTAACTTTCAAAGCTAACAGTTTTCTTAAAGTCCGTAAATTTTTTATACGCCATTAAATGAGACTACTTAAATTCATACTGAAAAATGAACATTACCAATTAACTTAATCGGTAATGTTCATTTTTTCAGTATGGCTAATAAAGGAGGAAGAAAACTAAATTTGTGAGTTTTTGAACTTTAAAAGTTTTACAGAAAAATTGAAAATGTATCTTTTTACATAAAACATGCTACATATAAATCCAAATAATAACATAAAATTCTCAGTACACATTTTTTGTGGGATACCAATTTTCATTGATTTCATGGATACAAGTGAACAAGGAATCTAAATCTATTGTATTGAAGATTTACCAGGCGTTGGTTCACTGTCGTTTGTAAGGAATTTAAATGTTCAACGACTTTAGCAAAATCCGCAAAATCAAATATCTAGGAAAATGCAAGTTTTCATTTATCCAAAAAAATTTGGTACCCACGAAAATAAATGAATTCACTGTATTATGTTCTATTCATTTTATTATTCTACTCTTTAAAGATAATAAAAAAAAAATGTGTTAAGTACCAAAATACAGGTTTTTAACTTAAACATGCTGACAAGTCTTTCCCAAGTCAGGAACCTTGCAATATGGTGTTATTGTTCATGACTTAATATTTTTAGGGAATTTCTTTTAATGATGCAGTCTCCTAGGCTTACACCCTAAAACTATCATTTATATATCAACTAGTCAAACCTGCCATAAATTAAAGGTCACCTCTATTAAGCTAAAAACTTGTAGTAGTACTAATGCACTTTGAACCTCAGTTCAATGATCACCTCTCTTATGAGGTTAAATTTCTCTGGTCAACCGTGTGACCTTTATATATATATACAGGTTTGACTAATTATTTTCCATGTTCTGATAGTTCAATAAAATGTTAATATACAGTTAAATCTGTTGAAACTGACCTTATAAAAATTTGTTACCTGTCTTAACTGAACACTTTGTCACCTGTCTAAATTGAACCCTACATAAATTTACATCGGTTTAAAGTGGACACAGTGTACATTTTTCACCTGTATAAACTGAATCTATTACTATTTAGACATGTTATGAATATTCCTTTGTAATTTTAACTGTTTAAACCCCAACATTTACTTTTTCTGTAACAAATGTTTAGTCCCACATGTGTCCCACGGGGAATCAGTTTAGACAAGTTTAAGTGTAGTTGTTGTATGTTAATAAAGATAAGGTCTTAAAAGTAAATAAACCAATAAGAGGATAGCAAAGATAAAAGAATATTAGCATTAATGCAGTAATGAGTCTCTATTGAATTAAGATAAAGGCATTAATTAAAGTTACAAATAATTAGTTTATTGAAAAAGTAATATGTTTTAGCAATATGAACTGGTTTTTATAAAATGCAAGATGTTATAACCTTTTATATATCTTTTTTACAAAACCATTAAAATTAAAAGACTAAATTGATGTAGCTTGGTGAGGTCATTTTGACAGTCAAGTAAATACATGTAAGTAAATTCCAATGCAATTTAAGATATTCTAAAGTGGTTACAAAGCTGTATATATATATAGCAAGTGTCATGTACATGCATGAAGCGTGAAATTCAGTAAAAATATGGTCCACAGCCAGGCTTTCCTTGCCATAACCTGACAACCTTGCTGGTGTCAAAGTCACCAAGTATCTGTCCCCTAAGGAATCGCTAGACTGCTCTGTAGGCACTAAGGCAGTCATTGCATTACATATGCCTTCATTATTAAAGTACTGATATTAATTAATTTCTTATTCCAGGATACAATTTAGTTACTGGTTAGTTTGTATCCAGCTTGGCTATATAGATAATGACAGTACGGAAAAAGGACCAGTACAACACCTCATGATATAACATACAGCCTGAGAGTTTAACTTCTAATAAAATGCTCCCGCAGGGCGCAGCTTGATACGACCGCAGAGGTCGAACCCTGAACAGTTGGGGCAAGTATGGACACAACATTCAAGCTTGATACAGCTTTGCATTTGGATTGTGATTAAATATTTGACACAGCATAGGTTTCTGACACAGAATGAATGTGGTCTAAGAACTTAAAAATTTTAAATTGGACATTCACCTATTATGGTCCAATATCCAAAATCTAAATACATGGTTAGATTCAGCATATCAAAGAACCCCAAGAATTCAATTTTTGATGAAATCAAACAAAGTTTAATTTTGGACCCTTTTGACCTCAATGTGGACAAAGTTGATAACGGGGCCCAAAAATCAAAAATCTAAATACATGGTTAGATTCAGCATATCAAAGAACCCCATATATTCAATTTTTGATGAAATCAAACAAAGTTTAATTTTGGACCCCGATTTGGACAAACTTGAAAACTGGGCCCATAATCAAAAATCTAAATACATGTTTAGATTCAGCATATCAAAGAACCCTAAGAATTCAATTTATGTTAAAATCAAACTAAGTTTAATTTTGGACCCTTTGGACCTTAATGTAGACCAATTTGAAAACGGAACCAAAAATTAAGAATCTAAATACACGGTTAGATTCGGCATATCAAAGAACCCCAATAATTCAATTTTTGATGAAATCAAACAAAGTTTAATTTTGGACCCTTTGGACCTCAATGTGGACCAATTTAAAAACGGGGCCCAAAATCCAAAAACTAAATACACGGTTAGATTCAGCATATTAAAGAACCCCAAGAATTCAAGAATAAAACCCCATTGAAATTGGTCAAGAAATAAGCAATTTATACGAAGTATCTTCTTTTGCACAATACTGTGCAATTAAATATTTCTTGCTATTGCGCAATACTGTACAATTGACAATTTCTTGCTATTGCGCAATATTGTGCTATTGGATATTTCTTGCTATTGCGCAATACTGTGCAATTGAAGATTTCTTGCTATTGCGCAATACTGTTCAATTGAAGATTTCTGGCTATTGTGCAATACTGTTCAATTGAAAATTTCTTGCTATTGCACAATACTTATTATATAATAATTTACACATCCTGTTTGGTGTGTATCTCCTACCATATCATTATAATTTGCTTGTTAAATATAAATCAGAAATAACCAACTTAAAATGGAAAATTTTAAAAGAAAAAAAAAAAGGAACAAAAGAAAAAAAAGGAAAAAAAAAAAAAAACCCTCCCAAATTTTTTGAACCCCCTTATGATTCATCACCCCCAAACTCAATCCCAGCCTTCCCTTTGTGGTATGGTACCTTGCAGTACAATTTCAGAGAGATCCATACACTTGAACACAAGTTATTGTCTGGAAACTAGAAAAATGTGTTTTTTTGGCCCCTTTTTGGCCCCCAATTCCTAAACGTTTCGGCAATTACCCCCAAACTCAATTCCAGCTTTCCCTTTGTGATATGGAACCTTGTAGTACAATTTCAGAAAGATCCATACACTTACACACAAGTTATTGTCATGAAACTAGAAAAATGCTTGTTTTTTGCCCCTTTTTTGGTCCCTAATTCCTAAAATTTTGAGGCAATTACCCCCAAAATCAATCCCAGCATTCCTTTTGTGATATGGAACCTTGTGGTACAATGTCAGAGAGATCCATACACTAACACAAAAGTTATGTCTGGAAGTTACAAAAATGCTTATTTTTGGCCCCTTTTTGGCCCCTAATTCCTTAACTGTTGGTACCATAACCCTTAAAACCAATCCCAACCTTCTTTTTGTTGTATTGAACCTTGTGGTAAAATTTCATAGAGATCCATTCACTTAAACTAAAGTTAGAGTGCGAAAACCAATGTGTCTTCGGACGACGCCAGAGGACGCCAGACGACGACGACAAAGACGATGACGACGCCAACGTCATACCAATATACGACCACAAAAATTTTTTTGCGGTCGTATTAAAAAAGGAGT